ACTTCAGCTTTAAGCTCGAAGACTCAGGATTTTGGCACTTGCAAGTCATATTGGTCACAATAATTTTTCATTTACATAAGACTTCCTGTAGACAGAATTGCTTGCGTTTAGGTGAGGAGGGCTAGGGGACGCTTCATGACGTCTATTATAGCGGAGCTCTCGCGCGCAAAGCGCGCGCAGCGGAGCTCCAGGGGTAAGAAAATGTGGTAAACTACCCATCCGAGAAAATTTGGTAATCACGTGACCGTACACCGACCGACCGCCCGCCCAACCGTCCGTCCGCACCACAGGCATACCAATGTAAAATAGTTCAATCAACAGGTATGGCAACCCAAATGCAAATCGAGGTTATTTTGACGGGAAGTCGCATAGCTACCCGCGTCTTGTAAAGCATGCACAGACAACTAAGGAGTCAATGAAGACGAAAACGGAAAGCGGAAATTGTCTCTGTATCCGTGTTTTCTAAAGTATTAAGCTTAGATTAATTTTCATGTCCACAAATTTGGAATATGGAGCAAGAGAAAGACCAAGAAAAAGAGAAAGTAGGCGGCAGGCCAGCGAAGCTCAACTAGAAGAGGGCGACAGAGATCTAGATAAAAAACAAAGGAGACATTTTTTTGTAGGAAGAAAAACATGAAAATTTTGTAGGGGCGGTAACACAATGAGAAATGTTAGCGGCCACCAATGCAAGGTGAAAATGAGCGGCAGTGAAAAAAAAGTGAACAAGAAAACGTGCGACGTTTCCTCCATAAAACGTGTAACCATGAGTTTCTAAAAGTTTCACGTTGTAGTAGTGCAAAACAACTGCAAAGAAACGTACTTGTTTTTCACCGTTCTCCGGCGTTGCATTTCGCCGCTTAGCATTACACGATTTTATATTTTGTTTGAGCAAACTATAAATATTGTCGAGAGCTTCGCTTTTAGCCTTGGCTAAATCTACATATTAAAATTGCAATCCTGGACAAGTCTGTATGTAACAGCGGGAGTTCGTATTATCGGGGCTTGCCTCAGCAAACATCCCCAACTGTATGTTGCCCAGGATTCAGCTGATGTTCCTATTTCGTCGGGTGCCTGTAACAGTCTCGTGTCCGAATTGTACCGCGGCTCGAAATCGTGTGTTGATCAGTCACTTTTTGGCGTCTGGATATCAGACGAAACATTTCCTTTCATTTTTGATACATGACGTCTCGAACTCATTAATAGTTTATGAAGAGTAAACAAAAAATTCACTGTGATAGAGGCTGGAATATTGGATCTTATCTTAAAGGGGCTATTCATCTGTGACAAAAAGTTTTCCTTTGGGTGATCATCATTTTAAAAATTGTGATAACCTTTATCTTGATGATGTACGGATATTGCTCGGAGAAAATTGAAGTTGGTCACTCTTAAAAGGATGCCTCGAAAAACCATGGATGACTTAAAATGAGTTAGGAAAATCTTTAGACAGGGGACTCTCGATAACGAGATTTTTTTTTAATTTTCTTCAACTTCAAAATAGTTGTTAACAAAAAATTTCACTGGAAAGGTGGCACTTTTGAGCCACATAATGTATCAAAACACAGCTGTGAAGTCTTTTTAAGTCTCTTGCTTGAAACGCAAACTATTACTAAACAACAGTTTGATCCTCCGGCGCGTTGAATGCCTCTGATTAATTTCCGTGAAGAACGAGAGAATGTTAACAGTGACCACAGCTGGGTTTCCTTCTTTTTCGATAATTAATTTATTTACAGGGGCATTCTAGTTGTTTTCTGGGGGAAATGATACTGACTTGAGAGGGAAAGAAATTAGGGTAGAAAAGTTAGCTAGTTCATTGTTAATTGTCTACTTATTATTCCCTACATCTCTAAGTTATAAACAAACCTTAACCCGCAAATCCAACATTTTTCTATTATCCATGACATCCCCCGAATTTTTATTCATTAAAAACAAAAATTCGAAAAATCATCCAAAACTCCACACACATTTTTGAGCCAATGGCAACGACCTGATGGAGAGCCATATTTTGATTGAAGGAAATCTAGGGCTAGATTTGGAATAAACACGACAGTAGAAAACGAAAAACAAAGCTTTTGACTAGAATCCCCCATTAAGAGGAAGCATTCATACAAAGTAAAAGATGGTGATAATGATGTTCAGTTAAACAGTCACCAGACTAATTTATCGAAACATTGAAACACACTACTAAAATAGAATAATTGATTTATTCTTTTTGTGCAACTTTCTCTTTAAAATACGACGCACGCAAGTTCCTTTCGATCCAAACTGTTTGCTTCTGTAAAGTGGTTCTTTCGACCCTGTCGAGTTCAGTACTTGATTCCAACCGTTTTTAACCTACAATGCCACTCGCCAACATTTCTTCGCCTTCTTCCAGGTCAGTGAATAACTGTCATTATTTCCTATCCATTGCATGGTCTAAAAACCTACGATTACGATACTTTCTAGGCACTTTCCAGAATCAGCAGATGCTTTGTGATTGACTTAAATCAAGTGAAATGATACACTAATTAAGGTCCATTTTTACACATCGAGTATTCTACTTTCTTAAAACGCCTTGCCCGGTAAAATAAAACGCCAGGTATGTAATATACAAGAGGAGATTGCAAAACAGCCCCGTTGACATATTTGTCGAATAACATACCTGCGATGTAAGACCAAGTAAAGGCAAGATTCACGGCTGCCAAGAAAAAAGGGAATGAAAAACCTTAATGATACTTTGTACTGATCCCAATAAAACTGCACATTCAGACTAACGCCGAGTTCATCAAACAGGTTTAATTACAGAAAACTGCTCAAAATTCAGTTCATCATTGCAAATGATGTCCTTTGAGGCAACCTAGTTCTTTTATTTTTCATTGACTTTGTTAAGAACTAATCAATATTTTTCCTGACTTTTTCGGAAAATTCCCTGACTTTTCCCTTACCTTGAAAAATACCGTTTTGGCTGACTCTTCTTCCTATTAACAGTGATAAAACTAAAACAATGACTTTTCCCCAAATCTAGCCTAAGATTTGATTTATCATGAGACTAAATAATCTCCAATAAGAACCCCAAATACCGGGTTTGAAATCATGAATCTGTCGCCAAAAAAGTGACTTTATTGAGTGCGGCCTGAGGTTAACTCCAGGGAGAGGCTTATGAGTAACTTGCTCCTATCTCCGACGTTTAATCGAGGGCGGCAACAGTAAATAAGGCATTTTAAACAACAAAAGTGTGTCCGTGAATGACCCGAAGGGGCGGGGGCCCGGGGCCCGGGGTGGCGGGTTTAGTGCCCCTTCCTTTACTCTCCCCGATCTCTGTAAATTTCAAGTTTGTATACTTTAACGGAGTGGGCGAGGCGGAGCCCCATACCTAAGACAGTTTGGTAATCTATCTATCCGAGAAACTTTGATAATCACGTGACCGTGCGCCCGTCCGTCCACACCACAGGGAAACCAATGTGAAATGTCAAACTTTTTAGCTAGTGTGGGAGCCTCTAACTTATGGTCAATTGACGGTTGTCAAAACAGGGTATCCGCTGACCATAGTCACCTAACTGTGTCGTGGGCTCAGGTGCCAACTCATAGAGGTCACGCGTTTTTTAGGTTTTCCGATGACCAGTTTTAGTTTTTAATTGATCGCAGGCTCAAGTTTATGTTTTTCAGTTATATGGTTCTCCCAGATTTGAGGATTTCTTTTGCAATAGTTTAAAGTCCATTGTTCAAGGTCCATTATCTGAAGTAAATTTAGAATGCATAAACAGGAGCTTCGCCTTTAGCTCTGGCTAAATCTATATTTTATATTCCTCGAAATTTTTTACTTCGATAATCGACTTTCTTAATTTTGAGACAGAAGAAAAGTTCCCGATGGGACTTACAGGGACAACTCAACCATGTTGAAATGAATCGCTAATATTTCTACTGCTTATAATCTCTCTAGGTCTTTGGATCTAGAGAAAGCCATGTGCAATTTTTATGTGCCTATTTGGCGAGCGGAATACCTGCGAGACGACACGAACAAACATCTGATTGGCCTGGCCAGTATCAATATCACAGCAGCCCTGCCGACAATTCTTCTAAATGCGCTGGTCATTTTTGCCGTGGCAACAAGGCGCCGACTGCGAAACAACTCAACCATACTTCTTGCTTGCTTAGCTGGGACGGATTTGTTAACGGGGCTTGTTGCTCTACCGTTTGCCTTCTTGGTAGACCTGAGAAGACTCCTTGGTGCCGAGTCATTCTGTTCGCTAGAAAAGGCATTTATTGTGACAGTAACCATGGTAGGGTATGCTTCTATCAGTCACCTCGTCGTGATCAGCATAGACCGCTATATAGCTATCAAATATCCCTTGAGGTATGAGGATATTGTCACAAAAATGCGGATAATAATCAGTATTACTCTTAGCTGGGGTTTCACGTTGTTTATGACAATTCAATTTGTTCTTGTTCTATTACACAGTAACAGAATATACTCGTTTTATTCGCGCGTGAACGTAACATTACAAATTATTACTGGAGCTTTTTTCATTGTTGTTATTTCCTGGTCTTACGGTTACATTTACTCAGAGACAAGACGACAGATTAAACGCATCCAGGCCGAACAAGTGCCTCAAGAAGAAATCCAAAGAATCAAGAAAGACAGAAAGGCAGCCTCTACTCTGGCGATCATTCTGACTGCTTTGGCAATCACTAATTTACCAGCAATAGTATTCGGTTTGCTAACTGCTCTTCCAGGTAGTATTACTGCACCACCGCGTTTTATATGCGTCATTTGGAGCTGGGTAGGACTTGCTATCATGCTAGGCTCGCTTTTTAATCCGATCATTTACTGTTGGCGAATGAAAAATCTACGGCGCGCGTTTCTCGAGATACTACATTTAAGACAACCTGAAAACACTTGGCCAGAAATAGAAATGAGAGAAATTGAACGACATCAACCAGGACCCAGCACAAACCAGGCTTTCTCGTTGCCCACAAATGGGCAACCCGTTTTGCTATCATTCCGTCATCTGCAATCCGACTGATGTACACTCCACAAGTGTGTCGTGAATCCACAACTCTTTGATAATGTCATGACATAATAGACATCTAAATAAGAGGACAGACAAAAAAGTGGCGTCAATTTGTTACATAAACCATGAAAAGTACCGTTTTCCGTGTCTTTCTTTGCGTCGTCCTCAAACGCAAGCCAAAGAAACCACTAGCATTACAGAACCCTAGGAGTTGTAGCTCTTGCTTTAATAATGTAATCCTTAATTAAAGAGGCTATGTCCTGAGGATTACTTGCTGTTTTAAGTCAATGCTGCAGAATTCTGTGCTGAAATCATTACTTAGTACCTTTACTCGTACGCCACTTCCAAATTTCCCACAATGCACCTTATTTGCCCCCCCCCCACCCCCCAAATTCTGCATAAGCATTCTTTTCAATTTCTCTTGGGACAGCTGTAATACCCAGGAGAAATGAAAAACAAAGGTCATGCAAAATTTTAGGGGGCAAATAAGGTGCATTATTGGATATGTGCAAGTATCGTATACACTAAGTGCCCCTGTAGAGTTATAAAGAAGATATCAAACAAATTTCATCAGGGAGCACCAACAGTAATAATTTTTTTGCTGATTTTTACGAGCATTAACATTAAAACTTTAAAAAGTTGGCCAAATTTTTTCAAGTTTTTATCCACGTCCTCCCATGCTATCCCGTAGCAAAAGACGATTGGAAACGGTTTCAATGGCCTACATATAGTCTTACACAAAACTGGACCATAGTATTTGGAATTCATCTGATGCAAAGACACTTTGGATCAATTTACGTTTCTGGAAAAATGCCCTCCTACCCGTCCCCTAAGCTAACATTAACAGTTACTTCTCACTTACTGCAAACTGATGGGTTAAGGGAGGAGTAGGTGGGCAGTTTCCCCAAAAACCTAAATTGATCCGACACTTTTTAGCTTGACTTTGAAGCACGACAATAGCTCCTTAAATCAATTTGAACTTGATGAAGAAGTTGACGAGCTAAAGCAGCTTCAGCTTAAGGTTGACATTGGAGTGTGTCTGAGCGATGGTCCCACTATCGTTCCCGGCCCATCTAACACTCGGCTTAAGATGGTATAAATGAGTATTGTAGGCAACTTAACCTTCATCAAAGGGAATAAACAAACAACTAATAAAATTAAAATTAAATATGTGCAAGATCTCAGAGATCTGCGAACTAGCATTAGTCACAGGATATAATTTTTGTCACGTCGTCGAATTTCTGCAATCGTCCATCGATCGTTCTGCTGATAAGCTACTTTGATTCACTGGTTCGCTTAAGGAAACTTGCACGCTTGTGGACTGAGTCTTCCATAATCCCCCCAAAGTGATTTTTGTCTGAAAAATCATCAGCGTGAATAATTTCCAATCAAGGATTTGTGAATGACAAACTCGTGCCTGGCAAACCCTGCCTTTTATCTTACGTTCGCAGAGAATTTATGGTGCTTGTTTAACAGAGCAAAATGAGACCGAAAAGTATAAGAAATGCAAGTTTCAGTTTTTATATCATAATCTTCAAGACAGCTGCTCCACAGAATGTCACTGAACACACGTAACTTCATTGCAGTATGACTGCACAAACCAAATCAACCCAAGCGGTCCCTTCTAGCATTTTCTGTAAAATTCCATCATCCTAACCATTTGATACATGCGGGCTTTCAGCGCTGAAACGTCATCATTACCCTGAGAGTCCAAGCGGTTCCTGTTTTTAACAAATCGAGATTTTTATCTGGTATACTGACTGCATATTTCAACTGTAAGCACTTTTCTATATATATGCGGGAGTTACTAGGACGCCTCCTCGGGATTTCACCTTCTGGCGAAATCCCTGGTTGGTTGCTGTAAGGTAGCTGTAAGGTCGGTAATCGTAAGGTCGACAGGTGTTGCATGAATGTTTGAACCAGTATCGGCTGAGTTCGCCTGGGATGTTGAAGCTGCAGTGTGAGCTTACCGCAGGGCAGATTGTTGTTGAACGGTGTTAACTAAACCTTTGACAACTTCGCTGATACCGGCAACGACGCCTTCGATAGTAGCAGGCATTTCTACTTGAAATGGATTCTCCACCACTTTTGTAGAAGGATTTGATACCAGTAGAACTGAGAACACAACGCTTTAATCACTCCGAGACAGACTAATCTATTCTGGTACAGAAGGTACGCACGTGTTATTTTCCCGGAGCGGTTCAGACCGGTTTTAGAATTATCTATTTCATATATGACAGCATCAGCTGTCCCACTACATCGGGTGGAAGCGGGGGTTTGGCAAAACACAAAACTGAATGTAAGGCTGGCAATACGGCAAGGGGCTGATTTAATTGGGGTCAATATTTCGGCTAACAAATTAGCGTTACTCAGGGTCAGAGCTTTAGCTTAAGCCAAGCCTAAAAGCGGAACCCCTTTTAAATGCTTACCACTCACTTGAAAAAAAAAAAATAGGGAAAAATTTAGAAAAAGAATCAAATCTTACATGTAAACATTCAAATAAAGACATTGTCTTTTTATCCTATACGAACCAACAAAGGAAAACTTCTTTCCCTCCTTAAATTTTCTTACTTGCAAAATATCACTTCAACTTCAACTTCAAGAATTGTGCGGTACAAAAGCTGAAACTTTAAAGTTTTGAATAAGAAGTATTTATATCTAAAAAAAGGAGAAGACACCCACAAAAAGAACGGTACTGATAACCTCAAGGAGGAGTCCATGAGACTCAAGGAAGTTTCTTCCTTTCCTTGTGCTTATGTGCGGGTTACGCATGCGTAATGTGAAACAGAACGCAGTACAAGCATGGCACTAGGGCTGTGTTTACACTATGTAGGACACGAAAAGCTGATCCAGTGTTGAAACCTGCCCTCCACAGCCACACAATTTACTTCATTTCTCTCCCGCCCTCCCATCCCTGACAGTTTATGGGCCTCCCCCCGAGCATCGAGAGGTTCTAGTAAAACAATTACAAGTGTAATTTACCAGTGTGGCTATTGTTTTTAGACACTAATACAATGGGCACACTTGCTATAACTAGTGTAAAGAAAATCGTTCGTTATACCGAGGACGTCGTTATGTAGAGGTTCGTTATATCGAGGTTCCACTGAACAGCAACTGCCTGGGTACGCATTTCACAAACATCGAAATTCCTGCTGGAGAAGTTGGCCGAGACTCTGACTTACACTTGCGTCACCAAGTTATCTCCCTCAGGAACATTTCTTTCTTATGCCCCTTTGTTCGAAGAGGCAAAATAGTATAATAAAATATAAGATAAAATAACAAAACTGAAAGCTAACAACTACTCATAAATTAATTTCTTTTCTTTCGTTAATGGCCTTCAGAGAATTATGGATCCTTTGCTATTCCGGTCGCGATGAATATCATGATTTCAGATACGTTTGCCGCTGTTTTTGATGAATTATAGCGTTTGAGAAAAACCAGCAAACACAGGGAAAAAAAAACAAAAAGAAAAACTAAATCATTTTATCATCAAAGGGATTTTCTCTATAAATAACTTGCACTTAAAATTTCAGGTTGTTTATTCCTGCACCGCATGCAAGGTGAATCTTTGAATTTTCACCCTGGCGTTTTCGTTTCATCAAGATTTCGGCGACGTAAAATGCTGCAGACTAACAGGTCAGTTGAATGACATTACAAATCAGCTTTATAGCACTGCTTCGGGCATGCGCCGTGCAAATCATCAAATATTTGGATCAACTAATTCGTCACCGAAATCTGATCGGCAGTGTATCGTAACTTCCAATTTAAAGCTAGTTCAAATATTAAAGAAAATTTGTTAGTACGGTCACATTCAAACGTAATCGAAGCCAACACACTTGCCCTGAAAGGTGGAGTAGCATTAGTCCCACGTTTTCCATTAGACTGCAAAATGATCGTTTTTTCCCATCATAATCGCTGCGCGTAAGGGGCGAAGTGTCGACTTAAAACACAGGCCTGGTGCACATGCACGTATCTGTGTTTTTTAAAAAAACCACGACGACAGGTTAAACGCCTCGAAGCTGAACAACTGCCTCAAGAGGAGGCCCAAAGAATCAAGAAAAACAGAACGGAAGCTACTACTCTGCAATCGCTCTACTTGCTTTGGTAATCACTTATTTACCAGCAATAATGGTAGGGGTACTGACTGTAGCTCCTACAGGTAACATTTTCGTAGAGTGTGAACATAACCTATATGGACCTAGTACATCGCTAGTTCTACAACCCCTATAAGCTTGTAAGAGCACGTTCCCACAGGTTTTCAAATTAGAGGAATCAGTTTAAACTTCGATATAATATTTTTGGTCCAATGTTTCTAAAAGAAAATTTTGATAAAGTTCTACAAAACGCAGAGAACTAGGGTTGTAAAAGGGACAGCTTGATGTTGAAAAAAAAAAAGAAAAAGAAAAAGGAAATTGAACCGAGCAGGAGACAAATAAAGACATCAAACTAAAGGTTACATTTACTTCGCAACCGTGTTCATTATTATAGCCAGCTGCAGGCTTGACACTGCTTTTGGCTCCGATCTTCGTATTAATCTGACTGAAAATAAACCTTTAGAATTTGCATCTTCAGAATCCAATTTATCCAGTTAAGTTTAAAAATCAAACAAACAAACAAACAATTTTTTGTGTTTGCACACCTAAAGCTCTTTGCTTGCGTTATGCTTGCGTGAACCAGGTTATCTCCCTAGAGAACCACATGCTTCTGCGTTCGAAGAGGAAAACTAGAATAATAAGATAAAATAACAAAACTTGAAGCTAGCAACTACTCATTAATTAATTTCTCTTCTTTCGTTGGCTTTCAGAGAAAGTTCTTTGCTATTCCGGTCGCGATGAATATTTTAGATACGTTTGTGTGTTTTCGTTAATTACATTGTTTAGGAAAACTGGCAGAGACAGGAAACAAAGGGGAAAAAAGAACGATAGAAAGAAACAAAAAGAAAAACTAGCCTTTCGTCATCGAAGGAAAGGATTTTCTCTACAGATAAATTGCACTTAAAGATGATAATTAAT